TTGCTTTCGCAAAAGAAACAAAAGTCATAAACATTGGTAATTCATATATTTCATATAAGTGAAAAACGCTAAAAGCGACGACCCATTCAGAATTTTTCGTGAATAATATTGAATTCTAAAGTTACTGATTCCAAGTCCTGGACATTTAAAAATTAGATTTCACTCCATTAGTGAATCGAAGAAATATATGTCACGTTCCACCATTAGAGGTCTCCAAAATATTCTCTTCTTCCTTTTATCTGTGTCTTGTTTTGATTTGTAAAAGTACATAAATAATTACAGTACAATATCATTAAAAGATCAATCCTCGTAAATTAAAAACAATTTGTTGAAATTCAAATCTTCAATCAAAAAATTGAAAAATCGTTCGCAACCTGTGTCTGGATGATCAAATCTTGATATTTTTTCCACAGTTTTTACTTTATTAATATTTAAATTGAGCTACGCTTTCCAGAATGACACAGAGTCAAAGTTTCGTAAAAAAATTAATGTTCTTCCTTAAATAACTGTGTCGCAAGTATAGTTTGATTTAGTGATATTTGTATACCCCTTTGTCAAGATTTTTGAGGTAACATTGTGTTCCGAGGGGAGCCAATATCGGGGTTGAATAACCGATCGTTATTGGCCGATCGCCAGCTTCGTTGTCAAGTCAGTTGGCATGCAGAAATATGGTCATAAAGGGAAAACGTAAACGAGAGAGTGTGTGTATGCGCGGGAAAAAGAAGAAACCGAAGAGAGAAAATGAACAATAGCGCGACACCTGTTCGCGTCATGGACGCACGTGCAATTAAGCGTGCTCGCTTGGGTTTAACGATCACAGAGTCGTTAAAGATAATTCTTCTTTTTTTCTTTTTGTATGTAGCCGTTCGAGTTGTACGTTCGCAGCTTTTTCACATGTGATATAATATGTAGATAGGAGTTGTGCGCTGTAGCGATGCTATTTAAAAAAAAATATTTTACCTCCATAGCGTGCGCAGTATACCACGCGCAGAATGGAAGCTCTCTTAGATTGAATAAGGATGGATTTTAAAGAATACATAAATATTTGTTTGATAAGAAAGCTAATTGTTGAGACCTTTTAACACATCGCTTAAAAAAAGTCTGACAGAACTGTCATAGAGACGAATAATCGTAAAAGAGTTTTCTAACGTGAAGTGACTAATTTAAATGCAGTATCTGTTTTATGTATTTAAATATATTAAGTGGTAGATATCTAATGTATAATAGTTGAATTATGCTTAACAATCGTGAAAAGTATTCTTGTACTAGTGAGAAATGGAACTCATATTTTTCTATTCGATATTTTGAAACAAGATATTGTAATATAATTAAACATTTTCTTGTGTAATATACGTAATAAATATTTTAAAATATGACATCCAGTTCAATTTTCAGTTCTTAAAGGAATAGTTAAAACGATTGTAGTTTGAAACATTTTTAGAATGTTTCAGGCCAGTAATTACGCTTTCCAAAGAAATTTTGAAAAATTTTCTTTATATACTAATGTTATGTTTCATTTGAAACAGCGAATAAGAGCAGTTATTCAGATAAACAATAACAAACGAATTTAGTGGCAATATAAGACTATATAATTAAAATTTTAAGTTGTAATTAAAAATAATTTTTAAGTCATTTCAAATAACAAACATTACTTTAATGAATGATAAATAAATTTGAGATACGAAAAACTCGATTTTATTTATTCATTTCTCTGAATTTAGATAAAATACATTTTTTTCTTCATTTTAGTATGAACAACAACACTCACAGAAACTTAAATTGTTTTATTTTTCTGTTCTATATGTCTACAGCGATGTAAATCTTGGCTCCTATCCAAAACATACATTGCAATTAACATGCAACAATTTTCTTTACATAAACATTTTTCCACAAAAATTTAGGAACTATCAAATGATTAAATTGACTGTTTTGTATTTTCTTATAGATATTGTAAAAGCGCATTTATTAAAATATCAATTCATTTATATCTTATTCGTGTATTACTATATTAATCTACTTAATAATTCTTCATAAAAGCGTTCTTATGTTCACAACAATAAAAACC